GGTGTTTTACACTTTAAATCAATCCTGTCCATAATCACAAATACAACTTTCTAACATCACATCATTATCTATTGTCATATTTTCTTCTCCAAATTCTCATAAATTACTTCATATCAGCCTTTTTATTTTTGTTCGTTTTCTATCTTCCTCAGTCATATATTCAACATGTTTATAGTTCAATCTACTGATTTTATAGCTAATCTATTCATATCATTTCATTTATCATTCAAAGTTTCACCTTAATTTATAGCTATCCGAAAATACACTTTCCATCTTATTTTCTTTTAGCCAATATGGTCATATTTACACCACTATATCCTCATTACCTTATACAAATATAACAGATATAACAGAATATTTAATTCATTAAAACTTTATCTATCTTCCTTAATCATATTTTCAACATGTTTACACTTCTCATTTTTAGATAAATACATTTTCCATGTTATTTTCTTTTAACCAATATTGTCATATCTACAGCAATATATCCTCATTACCTTATACAAATATCACAGATATAACAGAATATTTAATTGATTAATTCATTAAAAATTTCTCTATCTTCCTTGATCATATTTTCAACATGTTTACACCTCATTTTTAGAGAAATAAATTTTCCATCTTATTATCTTTTAGCCAATATTGTCAAACTTATAGCAATATATCTTCATTACCTTATACAAGTAGATAATAGAATATTTCATGAAAGATATACTAATCCTTCTTGTGCTCAGCATGTTGACAGTTTCATACCATTCATTAAGCATTCAAAATTTCATCTTAATTTATATTATCTCCTATTATGTCCCCCCATTATTACACTTGCCACTGTTGCATATATTTTATTTTCTATATATTCCCTTCCCTCTAACATCTCATTTTTACTCAAATAACTTTTCTTTTAGCCAATAATACCAAACTTGTAACATTATGACCTCATTACCATATATATATATATATATATATATATGTATGTATGTATGTATGTATGTATGTATGTATGTATGTAATAAAATATATTTTTCTGTCTTCTGCACAGTAGTGGATTTTTAAGCTGTGCAGATGCAGATAGATAAACCCAACAAGACGTCCATCACAAAGTACGTTTATTGGTTCATCAGGTATCCTCATAAATCACATTTGTGACGAAGTTCTTCTTTAATGACCAATCCTTTGCATATCTGCCTTGTAATAAAAGCTGGTTATCTCCTAACCCATCTCCTAGCGATAGAAAGCAATTGCCATGAGTTAGGGAGTTCAGGCAAAAGTGAGGAAAACTCCAACCCATCAAGGGTCAATTTAGTGACCAATCAGGATTACAGATGTGGTCACGTGATATCGACTACATTTCCCAGGATACCTTTAACTACATTTACCATGATGCATTCCCTTAAGGGGACAGCTCACAATTGCTACCTAGCTATCCAATTCCCCTACACTGGCTGGACAGCACATATATAATTCATTAAAAATATTATACTACTACATGGTTATATCTATTCTCTGTCAGGCTCCATAAAACATTTCTTTTCATATTTTATCCCCTAATCATTTAGATTTTACATAAGCATTTGTCTATCTTAATTAATCTATTATAAATTCTTATTTTCATATCTATTACATTTAAATAATTCCTTTTTATTCTAATTCTTAATCCCATCTCTCAAAATCGATTATATATGTTTTACTACAAATATACCTCATCATCTGGAGTCTCCCTCTTTTCCACTTCTTTTTTTAATTTTTTTTCTATTTTGTTCCTTTTTTTTTAAACAAAGTTTTTATTTTTTACAACAAACATACGAACAAAACATAAAAACATAAAACCCTCTTTCAAATATATACGTACAGTGTGTCAGTTGGTTACAATCTTTTGTGCTATCCTGTTTTTACCATTACTCACAAGTTACATAAATTCTCACCTTATCGATCTAGCTTGTGGTTATATAATATCAATTATTAAACATTCATTTGACTATTTTTCCATCATTTTATACGAGATATTCTAATTTTCATTATGATTTATTCCTATGCATTCATCCAATGGTTATATATTTTATATTGTATTCTATATCAATCTTTGACTTTTATTGTAAGGCTTACTAATCTATTTCTTTACCATGTCTTTTTATCTAACCATTGTTAAAATAAATCCCACATCATATAAAATTGTTTATCCTCTTGTTCTCTAATTTCAAATGTCAATTTACTCATTTCCGCACAGTCCATGATTTTCTTAATAATTTCCTCCTACTTAGGTATTTTTTCATTTTTCCAATTCTTAGCAAATACAATTCTAGCCGCTGTTAAAACATTGACAATCAAATATTTCAATTCTTTACAATATATTTCCGGTATAATTCCCAATAAAAATATCTCAGGTTTAAAGTCTATGTGCTGTTTTGTCATTTTTTCCAACCATGTGTGGATTGTAGTTCAATATCTTTTTGCATCTGAGCATGTCCACCACATGTGGTAATATGAACCAGGTATCTGATGACATTACCAACATTTATCCGATTTATTCTTGAACATCCTTGCAATTCTCGTCGGGGGTAAGTGCCACCTGTAAAACATCTTATATAAATTTTCTTTATATGCAGTTGACATTGTCATTTTATAATTTTGAGACCACCATTTTTGCCATTTATCTAAGTCAATCCCATATCCGAATTTTCCCCCCACGCAATCATTGTTTCTTTTACTTGTTCTTCCTCTAATTTAAACTCTAGCAAATGTCCATAAAGTTTTTTGATTACTTTTTCATCAGTACCTGTCAAAATTTTATCTAAATCAGTCAAGTTATCATAGATACCTTCTGTTTTAACATCTTTATCAAATCTAGATTGTATTTGCAAATATGAAAACCAATTCATTTTTACACCTTTTTCTTCCAACGCTTGCATAGATTTAAGTTCACCCTTTTCATTCAATATCTCACCATATCTGTTTGTTCCTTTTTATATATTATTGGATAGGAAAAAGCTTCAATAGTAGATAACTATAGTGGAATTTTTAAATAATATTGCTTTTTTATCTTCTCCCAGTTTAAAAGCAATGCTTCTCGAATATAATTTCTTCTAAAATACCCCTGCGTTTTAGTTCCCTTATACCAGAGGAAGGCATGCCACCCTAGCGGCAAGTCATGTCCTTCTAAATTCAAAAGTCTAGTATTCCTTAGTGTTATCCACTCCTTTTCCCACATCAGATTCGTCGCTTGGTAGTATAATTCCCAATTGGGCAAAGCAAATCCTCCTCTTATTCTTGCATCTTGTAGCAATTTAAGTTTTATTCTTTACTGTATTTTAACACTATTTTGTTTAAATCTTCAAAAAATTCTTTCCCTATTCTGATTGGAATTGTCTGGAATAAGTATAAGATTCTGGGCAATACATTCATCTTAATTGTAGATATTCTCCCAATCAGTGATTGTAAATTTTCCCATTTTATCAAGTCTGTTGCAATCTGTTGTTTAAGTTTGAGATAATTGTCCTCCTTAAGTGTGCTACATCTTGGTGTTATATGTATCCCTAAATACTCAACCTTGTTTGTGACCTGGATCCCCAAAACTTCCAATTCTTTCTTTCGTCTTACTAACATGTTCTTTGCTAAAATCTGTTTTATCTTTATTTTTTTTCAAACCTGCTACTTTCTCATTCTCTTCTATCTTTTCTATCAGTTTAGGTGCTGATTCCAATGGATCCTCTAATATAAATACCAGGTCTTTTTTCCACTTCTAACTATTGTCTCTAAATCTTTCTTTTATATTAATTCATTGTTTCTTTGCTTGTTTATCATTTTCTATCATCCTTTGGCTTTTTCCCTTAATCCTTCCTCCATTTACCATCATTTTCTGATATTTTCTCTCCCATTTCTCAAAGTTTCCCCCCTCCCTCTTAGATCTCTACTGTGTATCTCCGTAACCATTTCATTTATCAGCATTCCAGTCTCAATATCCCCTCTCTTATTTATTATATCCATCATTAATATCTCATATTCAGCTTCTTTTTTCTTCTTGTGTTATTTGTTGTTCCTTTTGATCCATTTCACTGCTTTCTCTTTCTTCTAACTCCTCCCACATCTTTGTCCTTTCTTCTTCTTCTTCTTCTTCTTCTTCTTCTTCTTCTTCTTCTTCTTCTTCTTCTTCTTCTTCTTCTTCTTCTTCTTCTTCTTCTTCTTTCTTCTTCTTTCTTCTTCTTCTTCTTGTCACCATTTCTGATTTTTCCTCCATATTCTGTATATTCAGTTCCCAGTTCTGGAGATTCTCCTGGACTCCCGAAGAGCAGGTGGCAGTCATGGCTAGGAGAGGGTCTGTAAGTCTTTGGGTTAGTTGGCCACTTTGGCAAATTAATTTAATAAATAACTAAATGTACTAAACAAACAAACAAACAAACAAACGTCGTATTATACCTGATTAAAAGTGTGGTTCCATTTTCCATGAGACCCCAACAATCCTCTGAATCCTGCTGTGTTTGTCCTCCCCATCTTCTGCGTTATTTCTTTCCATCTCCACCACATCTGGCAGAAGGTTCCTTTCACCTCTGGGCGTTTCTCGCGTTTATCCCTGTCGGATTTGCCTATTTGGGGAATTTTTCCTTTTTGGAGACTGCAGCTGATCCCAATCAGGAAGGATTTCACTTTTTTCCCTCTTTCAGGATCCCTTTTAATTTCTTGCTGCAATTTACTTTGGAAGATGATTCAAAGCACAGAATATTTTCAGGAGTGAAAAGGGATCCTGGCCTGAACTAACCAACTTGGTCTCCTGTTCTGGGCCCTCCTGTGCCTCTCATGCACCTCCTTTTCTTCCTTCCCTCCAGCCAAGCCCACTGTCACCATCTCCCCCACCAAGATTGATCCCGCTTCCCCCAACACCATCCTCCTCTGCACCGCCAGGGGCTTTTACCCCCTGGAGATCGAGATCCAGTGGCTGAAGAACGGGAAGCTGGAGGAGGAGGGCGTGGCCTTCGGGGAGGAGCTCCAGAACGGAGACTGGACCTACCAGCTCCAGGTGATGCTGGAGACCCAGCCCCAGCGGGGGGACGTCTACACTTGCCAGGTGGGGCATGTCAGCCTGGAGGCCCCCATCACCGTCCAGTGGGGTAAGCCCCTCCCCTCACTCCCCTCCTGCCCTGAGAAGGGGGAGAGAACCTCCCTGTGGGGGGAGCCGGAATGGACCCTCCTGGGGGACGGTGGGCCTGATCCTCCTGCTCAGGTGAGGCTCCTTCTCCTTCCCCAGAGCCCCGTTCCTCCAGCTCTGCCAGGAGCAAACTGTGGACAGGGATCATGGGGGCCGTGATTGGAGCGGCCTTCCTGGCAGTGGGGCTCTTCTCCTACCTGAAGAGCAAGAAAGGTGAGTCTGGGGGCTGGAGGAGAGGTTGTGGGGAGGGGACCATCTAGGGGAGGACTCTCATCAAGCTCAGCAGGTGGCCAAGAGGGTCTCCTTGAGGAATAGTTTTGGGAACTTCTGTTCCTCAAGGGGGCTATAAGGGAAGATTGTCCAACCTATTATGGGCTATTAGTGGGGAGGGGGACCCCCTGAGTCCTCCAGCCCATGAAGGGTCCTGATTGGCTCTTTTTCTCCTTCCAGCCACTCCCATCCAACCTCCTGCAGGTGAGTTTCTCCTCTTCCTCCCTCATCTCAGCCTCTCCTACAAGTTATAGGTGTTTTTTAAAAAAAAAATTTTTAAAATATCTCCTTTGTGTGGATATAGCAAATTTTTGAATTTTGGGCAGCTTTTCCTTACAGAGATCAGAAAAAATATTGCAATCAAAAAGAAAAGTACACAGAAACGCTAAAATCTTTCGCAGAATTTTTCCAAGTTTTGGGAAATTGCAAAAGGGAAGGGAAGGAGGATCCCAGGTTTACATTTCCCCTCCCCCCCAATAGTTTGTAAGCAACCCACCCATCCTTTTAGGCTTACTGTGGAGGGGGGTTCCTGAGGGGATTCAGGCATGGGGACAAATTCCACCCCTGTGGCTATTTTAAAAGGGGTGAGTTCCATGTTAATATGCACTGAGGTATTTTGGGCCACTTCAGCGAATGGCAGGAGATCTTCCCAGCTAGATTGCTGATAATTAACACAGCATCTCAGGTATTGTTCTCTAATAGCGTTAGTTCGTTCTGCAGCTCCGTCCATACTCGGATGGAGGGTGGAGCTAAGCCCTTGAGAATGATGATCCTATCACCTTCATGAACTCCCTCCAAAACTCCACTGTGAACTGGACCCCTTCCTCCCCTCCCCCCAGTCGCAGATGATCCTTCTTGGCTCTCCATGGAGA